TCTGAAATTTAGGAACTGAGGGTGTCCATCAAAAGATAGAAAGATGTTTTCATTTGTTTAAGTAGCCAGATTGCCAGTGTAAAATACTTGGGAATGCTAACATGTTTCTTAGAGATGGGCGTACAGGGATAAAGCTGTATTATGTATTTTATGTCCCAAACGGGATCTTGATGAAGACCTACACAGTGCATAATTTCTTTTAAGTTCTTTAAAGCAATCTTGTTTAATGAGTACAATTACAGGTCCATGGGTTTCCCAAGTACTCGTGCATCATCTACCCTGCCACACTTCTTTAATGCATCTTACCATTTAGGTTGCTAATACTGTTCAGTGTAAAGACAGTCTTTCTGAGGTAGACTGTTCAAGTTCAAGGACAAGTCTTTTTCTTACGAAATGCATGACATTCAAAAAAAGACAACAAATAAATACTACATGTACAATATGTAGCAATGAGGTAGAAATGGTTATAAAGAACAATGTTTGAATATACGTCAGATGAAAAAAGAAAAAAAAAGAAATGAATATTCTCTAGCAACTGTATATAATCCACAAGGGAAACTCATCCACACACACACCAGAGAGAAAGAGAAGTGGGGAAGAGAATGGATGAAAGGAGGAAGGGTGGAAGAAGATAGTTAGAGAGTTTTAAGCTTGGAAATAAACTTTTGCTTTTTTTTGTATCCTAAGACAAGAAGAAGGAATGAATGTGCTCCCAAGCTTGGTGTACTACAGAACCATTTTATAAATATTTAACATTCTATAGGACTGATTCATATATTCTCACACAACTCTGTGGCAAGGCTGACCCATGCTGCCGACATTCTACATATCACTGAGACAGGGAGGTGAAATTTTCCTGCTTTCAGTCTAATTGTCTTTGACAATTGCAGCGCCTAGTGCTACACTGCTTGTGTTGTATTTAAAAACAGGGGAAAGAGGAGAGACTTGTTCATTAAAGATGCAGTATCCTGGTTCACACAAATGCATCTGGCAGGTTCAAAATCGAATGTCAACCAAAGGTCTTCGCAGAGTGTGAGCTTCAGTTCATGTGTTGGTTAGTCTCAAGTACAGCCGGTTGTGAATTCTGAAATACTAATAGCTCCATGTTTGCTAATGTGCTTCATATAAAAATCAACAACTGAAGGTATTTTTGAAAAGAAAAAATGTTAAAACATCTTGAATTGTAAAATGTTCATGTGTATCTCTGCATATAAAAAGAAAAGAAGTAACCAGTTGCTTCTGAATAATGTAAAATAGATGTATGCTTTAAAGTTAAAATAGGTGATAGTGAAAACAACGCGCGCATGCACGCGCACACACACACACACAAGCAAACACACTAATTTTATATATGTATATATGTATATGTGTGTATATATATATATATGAGAACTTTACTTTAGTGGCCTCAATAATTCAACAAACTGTGTCCCTTTCATTTTGTAAAATACGAATTCAATGATCATGATACCAAATTCTTGCTGAGAAACATAAGAATGGGATTACAGAAATACGTTTTTGCTCAGAGTTGGAAACATTTTCAGAGAAAGAAATTCTAAATGCCTTTAAAACATACTTTCCAACTCACAAATATATTTAAACGTACAAAGACCAATTGTAGGAATTAATTTGGATTTTTTTTTTTTGATGTATTCTTTTGAAAACTGCATATCCAAGTACTATGCAACCCATGTAAATTGACCTTGCTATTTTACATAGCATAGCCTCTGGATAGCTTTTATCACTTGCCCAGATGGTGTTTGGCCTATGTATTTTAGTGGAATGGTTTATTTTCTCCTTGATAGGTTTCAAATGCACAAGAAAACATTATACCCGTCTATCTGCATTTGAGTTGAATACAAACTGACTAATAGATAAACATTCTGTGTGAAAGTAAATAGCCTTAAAGTATACTGCCTTCACATCCCATTGATCAGCTCAGTCAGCAAAGTTTTCCATATTGTCACTAATGCTCTAAATATTTGGGAGAGAAGCAAGCCAGAAGTGCAGAGTATTTCCATTTGTGTCACACATAAGGTCATTATGAACTACCTCTTGAATTTCTATTGATCCTTCTACTGAAGTAGTTTCCTTTACTTCCTTTTCGTCCCTGTTGGAAATGTTATTGCAGTTGTGAAAAAAGGAATTAGGGGCTGTTAAGTGGACTGACTCAATCCCCTGGCCAGACAGCAAAGGATTTGGTCTGGCTCATTACCTTACCTTCATTAGTAGCCTTCTCCAAATTCTTAGCAGCCAAAAGGAGGCCCAGAGTATAAAACCTGATTACTCAGTTGAACTACAACCGATTGTACACATTCACTTCTGAGTATGCGATATGCCACCCCCACCCCAAGCTCCAGAACCGATGGTCAGAAAAGAGCTCATTATGAGGCTGGTCTATAGAAGGGCTCATAATGCTGCCATGCAGAATCAAAGAATCACAGAAGAGCACTATCTACTTAAAGGTCAGCCTTATCTCCTCCAACAGATCTTCATTTCTCCAACTTGCCCAATTTTCTGAAAAATCAAATCCTAGAATTTGTGATGCTAAGTGAAAAATCACACATGAATTTAGCTTCTGCCTAAATATGTGGATTTTTACAAATTATTCGTACCTCAAACTATTGATTTTTAAATCATTTAAAGGCAAAAGTCAATCTTTCTGACTTCTATTTATTTTGTTTCATAAATGAGTGTAAAACACAATAATGCAGTCATATATTTGGAATTAAGTCATACCAGCTACCAAAAAAAAAAAAATATGTGGGTCAATATTGGATTTTCAAAGTTGTCTAAATAAGTCTGGGTTTCTCAAAACTTGCCAGATGCTTTCAAGTGAACACAGCATGTTGGCGGAAATGAAATGTAATGTCTAAAAGACAGAAAATAGGTCAGCACTGTGCGAAAGTAAACTTGTCAGTGAGATCAATATGAACCTCCAAGTTAATGTGGATATTAGAATTTCCTTGCAACAAGGGATACACAGGATAGACTCAGAACATCATTATAGCTTTTATTCACTTGTTAAAAAGCAGAGGAAATAGTTAATTATTATTATTTATATCCTTCATGAAAGGCACTGCTTTTTAAAATTGAGAATATTTATATTTAAGTACAGCTTTAATTGATAGACTATCATAATAAGTTAAATTATGACTAATTTGCTCAGCTTTTAGCAATATGAAAAATAAAAAGGGGGAATTAGTGGTCAAACATCAAAAAAATTCAGAAATATGAAGTCCCTCATTAGCTTTCTCCATGATAAGTGTTTCAGAGAATTTGACATTGTTGATTAGAGCTGTAAAAGTTTTTTGAAGGAAAAAAAAATAACAGAAAGACCTTTCTTGGGGCTTCTCATTCCATTTATTTAAAATTTTAAAAAATGTACATCACTTTATTGAATACATAAAATGCCAGTGCTTTGCAACAGTTTTGTTACTGCATCTTTAAACTAGAAAAAAGAAGGGTGGGGACAGGAAAAATACATTCAAAAAGCCAGTCTGTCCTGCTTATGCATGAGTAGTAGCTTTGGAAAGCTACACCCTGCATGGTGACTGCTCAGAGGTACTGCCCTGAACATCAGCCAGCTATCAATGAAAAGTTGCACATAAAGCATTACAGGATACAAAGAACAACTTGTTGGGGAGCAGGAGAGGAAAGAGAAATGAAGAAAAATGCCACATATACTATGGTGGAAGGAGGGTGTTTGGTGGAGTGAAGTGGAAGTAAGCATAAAGACTGCTGTTTCTGGAAACTAGATTTTTAGAAAATAAAGTAACGTTTGGCAAGCTATATTGCAGTGTGTGTGTCCACTTCTAATTTTCCACTTTACTCTCCAAGAGAAATGTAACAAAACTGAGGTAGAAATGAACGCTGGAGTACTACGGCCCAGATTTCAAAATGAGAAGCAAAATTGCACTGACAGTGGAGTCAAAAAGAAGAGGGGACGTCGAGGTTCTTTGTGGATATATATCAGTTGGTTGGTTGTTTTTCGTTTTCATTTATTGGTGTGTTTGTTTTGGTTGCTATCCTCTGCATTCTATCAAACAGCACAGCAAGCCTATAAGCTAGATTAGTGAATAGAATGACACCATTCCCAGAAGTTTTAAGAGATAACTTGCAAACTACCACCACCACCACCACGGCTACCACCCATGCAGAAAAGGCAGTCAGTTTTTAGGTACTGTGACTTTCAGGGTCTTTAACAGTTCTTGTGGCTGACTGTTCTAGACACTAACACAAACGGAATAAGTAGCTTTCCATTAACCAGTGTACCTTTTAAGAACAGTTTCACTTAATTATCAAGGAGCAATGTACTAAGAACTCTTGCAGTTATTGACATAAAGAATTATTCTGCTCTGGTAATTTCCCCATAATTAGTAAAAGAACTCTTTTTTTTAATCCTTCCATTTCTACTTTAAATTGTAAATATTCAGTTGTATCACACTTCGGTATTTTTCTGGATACATTCAAAGTAATTTTCCTTGCTATTTTCCAATTGTTGAGGTAAACATACATTTTAATATAAAGTAACATTGAAGCCTATCCTATTACTCTCAGCAGTACATAGTGCTTTCAACACATTCCTTTGAGGTACTGTACAAATCACAATCGCTTTCCTGAGTTTTTGCAGACAAGAACATTAAAAGAAATGAACTGCAGAAATTAAGGTCCAGATTACCGTTACCCTGTTTTACCTGTTCTTAGCTTAATACTGCAGAACAGACAGGATTGAGGAATACTGTTGCTCTTAAAATGGCAAAAATCTGGTTTTCTGTCGTAACACAACCGTTCATCTCTTTAGTCCGATAATGTTTGAAGTTAAAGCTCTTTATATTAGCACATGCCACCAATGTAATTGTGAGGCAAACAAAAATAAAGCACCACTCCAGGCACTTGACAGCAACTAAATCTCGAGAACAGCAGAATGGAATCAACACACGAGGTTCATGTCCTTCTGAAGTCAACACACTTGCACCTTGCTCCGTGGTGAGTGTTGTCTAGCTTGAACCGAACTGAGCATTCACATATGCTTTCTGTCATCTGGGGCTTTCAAATCAGAAGCTCTCATCTGATGCACTTTTCCTCCAAAGCTACCCTGACTCTAAGGATGCAACTTATTCGTTGTCTTCCCCAGTACCCTTTGCAATTTAAACACTACTGGAAAGGGGCTCTATTCCCTATGTAGCAGGTTTTATGTGTGTGTGTGCCAACATTCATTACATTTTTTTTTAAAAAGAAGTTATCACTGACTGCAACCAAACATTTTGTTCCACTCAACATACATATCAAGCTCTTTTTGAGATATGCTAGGCTGAATCTTGCAGAAAGCATTTTCAAAGTCTTGATATGTTACGGGCCTCAACTGGCTGGGCATAATGGCTGAAAGGTCTGTGGCTGGCATGGCATGGAGGGGGCCCACTGCTGCTTCCTGACACAAATGAGCCACGTCTAGTCCAGAAAAGCCTTCTGTGCGCTGGACGAGCAGTGCAAACTCCTTGTCATTGAGACAGTAATTGTGCTGTGAGAGCAGTTGTACTATTATCTGGTGCCTCGCTGTGCTGTCAGGAAGTGGGATTAAAAGTCGTTTCATGAAGTACCTTCGAAGAGATTCATCTATTTCTTCTGGTTTACTGGTGGCACAAATTACTACGATTTGGTCCTCAGCCGAAGTTAGTACAGTGTCCAGCTGCATCAGAAATTCGGTTCTCATCCGACTGACTGGACTGTGTTCCTCACTCACTTGCGAGGAAAGAAGCATGTCAATGTCACTAACGAAAATTACTGAAGGCTGGCGACACCTGGCCACAAGAAAAGAGGCATGGATAATTTTCTCTGCTTCTCCTAACCACTTGGCAACTAGTCCAGAACCAGCAATTTTGAAAAAGGTGGCCCCCAGCTGAGTAGCTATGCACCTGCCCAATAATGTTTTGCCTGTTCCCCGAGGTCCAAATAAAAGGATGCTCCGAGGTAAGGCCGTCAGCCCACTGAATGCATCTGACCTCAACACTGGCCATAAAACCTCCTCTTTAATGACAGCCTTCACCAGGTCGAGCCCAGCAATGTCACTCCAGTCCACTGGAGGTCCTTGGGTGATAATCTCATTGGTTACCAGGTCAATGAGGTGCGTGTCAGTATTCTTCAGTTGCTCGTCCACAGAGTGGTTGGATGAGGTAGCTGCACGGAGTCCAGGGCCTTGCATTGGGTGAGAGAGGAGCTGCCTGTGCTCATCCCCATGCTCACTCATTACGGGCGACGTGTACTTCCCAAAGGATTCACTGGATCTTGATCCCAATGAATTTTTAGCAGTACTGTAAGAAGGAGGGGTCAGAGCCCTACTGGACTGGCTGCTGAATTTCCTTTGCTGTTCAGAGGACATTAGCTGCTTCGTTGGCTTAAATGCTAAGGATGATGTTTCAGCACTTCTGTCAAAGCCATTCCCCCGATTTGTGTTTGAAATGCTGTTGTCGGGCATTCTGTACATAGGACTCTGTGTAGATCTCTGTTGGCCATAGCTGTAATTTCCATAACTGGAGTCCATATCTCCTTGCCCTGCCATATAGAAAGCTTTCCTTTTGAGGGAACTTGCCGAACTGTTTGTCAGAGCTGAGGGTGCAATGGGTGTCAAACCATGACCCTGGTAGGTGTAGCCAGGAACAGTGGTGGGCGGCAGGGGAGTGGGAGCAGGAATTCCTGAAGGAAGGTAGGCTGAAGGAGGAGGGGGTGCACCCCCAGGACTGTACCCAGACCCCACAGCAGTCTGAGGAGGATAGCTAGCAGAGGGATAGCTGTAACTGGAGAGGTTAGAAGTCCCATTGTAACCTGGGACCAGGGCTGGTGGCGGAGGAGGTGGGGGCGGCGGCTGTAGGAGCCCAGAGCTGTGTAAAGGAGATGGATGAGGTGAAGGAAGTGCAGGTGCTGGCTGGCTACTATACGTAGAATGCAAATATGATCCGTTGTATCCTGGGGCATATTCCTGAGATGGGAGCCCTGCATGAAGACTAGGTACAGTGTGGCTTCCACAGGTACTACTTGAATAACTAGGTTCTGTCAGGTTGCTGGCCACCCCAGGAGAGCTCCCTATACTTGCAGAGACATCTGCTGGAGGGAGGGCTGAACTGACTCCAGCTTTGCTGGCTGTGATAACATCTGGGACACAGTTCATGGGATAAACAGCTTCTGAATTCAAGGAAGGCTGCCAGGGTTCACTTTCATTTTTCCGACCGTTCACTAGTCCTGATGGAGCATCTGAGTAGTTGCTGAGTACAGGTCGGTCTACGGGACCTTCCAAAATGCCAGAATACTTCTCTGCATATTTTTTAAGTAAGTTGGATGCAGTCAGAGCAGATATGTCATCATTTGCCCAGGCATACTGATAGGTGCGCTGCAAATGACCTCTATAGGCTTCAACTTTGTGGGCAGGAGACCTGGTGGTCGAGGTGATGTCAAAGTGCTGTTCTGGCCACTGGGCATGCTCCGGCGTCCACTGCATCTTCAAGCCTACGGAATTGGGGAAAACAAGTTCATTTACCTATTAGATATTCATTAGAATGCTTAGCGCTTCCCTCCCCACACAACTTCTTTTGTTCCTTTTATTTCTCATCAATGATATGCATATTAAAAAGGATCTCTACCATTTATAATACCTGTTATAAACTCTATAATATATACTCCTTAAAATAGGCTAAAGCTCAGCCCTGTATAAAAAGTAAACTAAATAAAAAAAAACTATAGATTTAGATTTTTTTTTCATTTTTAAGTAATAAGCAAATCTACTTCTACCAAGCCATTCAGATTCCTTTTTATACACAAAATACACACACACACATATATGTATATGTACACACACATTCTGGTCAAATTTAGATTTAAATAACAGGTTCTTACAATAACATATGCATACACTTTAAGCAGCTAGAGTGTGATGGTATTAACATGTACAATATCTAGCTCTTCTGTCTCTTCACATCACAGTTTCTGTTTTATATTTTAACCAATATAAAAATGAGACACAGCTGACAGATCACATCTAGGATCCCTCTCTTATTTGGTACTGAACACCTAGTTAGCACAGTATAATGCTCCCTGCGCAGAACAATATGACACAGACATAGCAGGTCATTCCATAATCCAACTCTCATCTAAAGTGGCCCACGACAGTTTCAAATCTGCTTCGTGGAGTGCAGCAAAGCAATCTCCCAGGCAGCGCTCCATCGCGTTCATCGCACAAAGCCTACAACCCGGTATGAATTACAACTGGCTCCTTTCTGCCTCTCAGTTCTGTTGTTGAGTCTGGAAAAAAAAAACAAGCATCACTTGTCTGTTGGTCTTCTACTGTTCTCCCACCTTCTCTTATAAGCGGCCCCATAGAGTCTCTAAGGTACTAAGAATATGTGCATGTGTGTGTGTGTGTGTGTGTGTGTGCATGTGTGCGTGTGTGTGTGTGTGTGAGGGAGAGAGAGAGAGTGTCTGTGTCTGAGAGGGAGAGAGAAACTGACAGAGAGAAAGAAAACAAGGGTGAAAGGAAAGATAAGAACAGAGAGAGAATCTAGATTATGACTTTACATTTGCACAGAAAGCTGTGTGTGGCACATGTTCAAAGAGCACAACTAGATAATGAGACGGATGGGTATTTCTATCATTTGTAAGAGTAGTAATTGAAGCAAGGTGATTATGTACTGAACTATAAATGAGTACTTTCTCATTTAAGAGAAAATACTAAACAGAATCAAAGAATCATTTGAATTTTAAATTTTGAAGGGGACTTAGAAATTATCTTATTTCACAGATGAGGAAACCAGGGCCTGAACAGATTTATAATGTACCCTCAGGGTCTCACATATAGTTAGTTAAAGGAGAGGATTAGAACACTGTTCTATTTCCCGGTGCTGGCATATCCCATTCTAATCTCTGCCTGGTGCAAACACCTCCTATTCTGGTACAGCTATTTTAAGCAGAACTTCTTAATCTCTTTTGTATTACCCAAAGTGAATTTTGCAAACTGCCTTGTGCCCTCTGGCAGAGATTCCTCGATAAGGAGGAGGCCTGGTCTAAATGAAGCATCTGTGGCACCAGCTCCCTTCTGAATTACCAGTCTATTTTGACAGCTTCTATCCCCTTCTGTCCACCTCCCCCAACCCCTTTAGCCCTTCATTGCCTGACTCTGGCTTCTGACATGGCCAGCTTTGACTTACTGAGCTAAACTGAACATAGCACACAGTTTGGTAACAGAATGGCATGTTGATTCCCTTCTGACTCCCTCTTTCTTGTTTGCAAAACCACTGCACCAGACACTGGAAGTTAATTAGCAGGATGATGCTGTGCTAATTGTGTTAATTTACAAGGTTTTAGTCAAAGAGAATCATGCCAGGGCTGGCACTGCTGTCATGCTTCCGACTTAATGATTAAGAAATACTGAAAACAAGGTGGGAAGGATTGCAGTAATTACACAATAAATGAATAAAGCAACAGGATTCATTTGCAAATATACTTTACTCATTTGCATTTGGATTTAAAAAAATGATCCATGTAGATATTCAGTTGCAAATCACCAACTCAGTTAAATTAAGTCTGAATGTGGCACAGTATAACTTAATCAACCTTTACATATACGTGTGTGTGTGTGTGTGTGTGTGTAGAGATTTTCGGTAGAGGTACTAAAGACCTTACTTTTCTTGTATATGCAAGATTCTCTCTTCACTTTCCTTTGATTACCGTAAATCTCCATGTGTTTCCTTTTTAAACTGTATATCTTGAAATAATCTCATTACATTGGACACATAATAAAATTCTGATGAAATGTAACTTGCATCATTTCACTCAGTGAAACTCTGGGGTGAGTTCTTAGAAAAATTAAAGTGATATTCTTAATTGTTTCTGCTTTCTCAATCATTACTTTTTAAGGGGGAGGAAAGCACATCACAAAATGGGTGAAATGACCAAAACCACACATAAAGGAGAAAACATGCAATTTTAATAAAGAAGCATTTCAGGAATCATATTTTCATTAAATTCAATTGGAAATTATTAAGAGCAAATCACCAGGAACCAATCATAAGTAATCAGTATCTAAATTCTTCTAGTATCATGGGATTTACTTCAAGCCTTATAAAAAGGAGAGAAAATATTAATGTGACTATAAAGTAGAACTGTCTAAAAGACTTACAACGTCATTAGTCCTATACATTGTTTCTAGAAAACACCTATCAGGATTTTTTCTTTAAAAAATTACCACAATAGAGTAAACATGAAATAATACAGTAGAAATTCTATTAGATTAACATAGAGGAAGAATATAGAAGAAACATGTGAATAAATATCTTGAAGCAAGGACTCACAAAATAATCGAGAAGTCACAGGAAATGGAATTATAACTCACACAACACACATACAACATGTGTTAAAGGACAGGACTCCTTTTTTAGTTAGTTGATCTAAGTCATTTATTGGCATTAGTTAACAAGCATAAGCAACATAACAAAAATGAAATTGCTTTATATTTACAATAATTATTTAAAAAATACTCTTAGTCTATATTGACTTAAATGATGGATTCTGTTAAATTAATGATTGATAAGAAGCATGCAAAATGATTTTAATAAATTACAATCACTAAAAATGACAGGAATATACAGCTTAAATAAAAAAGACTGCCATTTCCACTGGATATTTCTGCATAGTTTAACTCTGGCAAAACTAATTAAATTTCATAAGATTTCTATTTCATCTGAAATTAAGCAAAGATCCTATCTATCAAAATTATTTATTTGGAACAATTACTGGATACACCATTGCCTTTTCATTCTCTTGCTATTTTAGATATGCTTACCAAGATAATTGAAACTTTATTTATTGATGCATACTAAATAACAATAACCTTAGGAGGGCTGCAAAAGGCAAGATTGAGTTTTGATTAACCTTAAGGGAACAGAATTGTCCACATCCCCTGAAACATGAGAATATATCCAGTCCTTTGAAAGCATTAAAGTTATTCAAAAGCATAAGTTAATAGTTAACCATAAACTCACTCTTAATGTAGTAGAGATGAAAAAGCCAGTGTTCAGGAGATGGTCCTTGCATTGCAAGTACAACATTTTTCATCAGTTTCTTGGATTTTAAAACTAACTGGAAGCAAACCAAACTTATTCTTTTGTTTATTGGTGGTGATATTTCTGACATAAAGTGGAAGAAAAGCTCCAACCTAAATATTGTTCCAACAACAACAAAAAATGACCATTTGCTTGCATTACTGTTGTGTGAGTGAGAAATAACATAATTTGTGTCACTTAACTTGGCAACCCAAAAAATGAGACTTTGTTTTTAGGTTTTTGACATAGGGCATGTGCGCTGGCAGGAGAGAGACTGTGAGAGGGAAAGTGAGAAATCACCCCTGGGAGGATGGCCATGCTGCAATCCCTTCTCTTCCATTCTCCTCTTAAGATTTTGGGTACACAGGCACAATCACTCAGAATAATTTTTAAATCATCAGGTCTGGGACTCAAACCATGGTTGAACATGTACCTTAACCACCACACCACCTACTGGTCCTGAGACTTTTTGTTAAAATGATAGATAGCACATGAACACAAATGAGATAGAAAGACCGAGTGGTAGGAAAAAAGTATCCTTAGCAAGGTCTTGGATAATTGCCATTCTCATCAGTATGGCCTATTTCATAACTTATGTTTAATTACTAAATAGTTCCTGCCTTGTTGCCTGCCTTCTTCTATTTTCCTTTTCAACAAGTTATGAAATAAAATAACTGCAGCATTTTCTACATTTCTGCCACAGCTTCAAAACGATAAGAAGCAGTTGTATAGTAAATGAAGGGTACAGAGCCAGTCTATGGCTTGGTGGTTAAGGGAGCTGGATACCTCTTGATCAACTGCGCATTTTGAGTCCTGGACCTGGTGACTTGAAAAATGTGCTGGGCACGTGTGCATGTATGCTTAAATTCCCAGAAAAAGGAAGTGGAAAAAAAGGAATTGCTGTGTGACCACGCCCTGTGAGGGGTGCTTTCTCCCACTCGCTCTCTCTGTTTCTCTCTGGCAAGTTCAAGCAGACTGGCAAATTTTCAAAAAAGAAAATGGATAAAAAAAGAAAGTGAAGTGTATTAAAACAACTTTCATAAAGGGAGTAAACTGGAACTAGAAGGCTAGGTCTTCTAGACTGTATTTTTAGCACATAACCCTGGAAATACTAACTTGAAATGTTCATTACCCTACTCCCACTCCTAATATATGTATACAATTCAGTAGCTCATCAGACCTGAAAAGATGTTCCCTTCTTCAATGTTTCCATAGAGTAATTCTGGCTGGTCAGGACTCTGCTTCTTTTGTAGGTTTTCTCAAGACGTCCTAAGATTGGGGATCTGAGGCAAACACCTGCAGGCTAGGTGGACCTGTTTGCTCTAAGGTAGCTACACAACACTCACGTGGCCTGTATGATATTACTACTCTTACATTTCTTAGGCCTATTGTACATTTTATGATTATTGTATT